GACGAGGCCAATATAGAGGAAACTCTAGAGGTGGTAGTAACTCGAACCGAGGCCACAATGGCAATAACCAAAGCAATGTCAGAATTACCCAAAATACTAACCAAAACACATCGGAAAACTCCCGAAGCCCTTTAAATACTCAACAATAAAAGAAGTCAGAGTTCACACTATTAATCTCAGCCAAAATATATTCGTTTCATTTTTCAATGTAGCTACTGGAAAAGAACTTATCTTTTTAATAGACACAGGTGCAGACATTTCCATTTTAAAAGAAACTTCGGATAACTTCCAAAACATCCAAGATGATTACATCATAGACATAAAAGGCATAAGTAACGAAATAACCAAATCCCAAGGTTTAGTTTCTATAGAGATACAGACAACTAAATACATAATCCCACACGATTTTCATATCGTAAATTCACATTTCCCTATTCCATGCGATGCAATATTAGGCATCGACTTTATTAAAAAATACAACTGTCAATTAGACTTCAAGCCATCTGAAGATTGGCTTATAATTAGACCCAATAATTTAAAATTTCCAATTAATGTACCAATAGCTCATAGTGCTGGCAATAATTCAATACGTCTGCCAGCAAGATCCCAAGTTATTCGGAAAATTGAACTTAATTCAAAAGAAGACAGTGTATTAATTCCAAATCAGGAAATTCAGTATGGTATTTACGTTGCAAATACCATAGCAGCATCCAATAATGCCTTCATAATGCTAATAAACACAACAAATACCGACCAAGTAGTCAGTACAGATAACCTAACATATGAACCACTTTCGAACTACGATGTAGTCAACACAAATCCAGACAATAGAAAAAAATCCGTACTATCACAACTTTCAAAAAACTTCCCTACACAGTTCAAGTCACAGCTTTCTAGCTTATGCACCCAGTATAGCGATATATTCGGATTGGAAACCGAATCAATAACCACAAATAATTTTTATAAACAAAGACTGAGATTAAAAGATGATGAACCAGTCTATATAAAGAACTATCGAAGCCCACATAGTCAGGTGAACGAAATACAAAAGCAAGTAGGAAAATTAATCTCTGACGGTATTGTCGAACCGTCAGTATCCGAATATAATAGCCCATTGTTACTTGTTCCTAAGAAATCATCCCCCGGGTCAAATGTAAAGAAATGGCGATTAGTAATTGACTACCCCCAAATTAATAAAAAATTAATTTCTGATAAATTCCCATTACCTAGAATTGATGATATTTTAGATCAACTAGGTCGAGCTAAATACTTTTCATGTCTTGACTTAATGTCAGGATTCCATCAAATTGAACTAGAAAAAGGCTCAAGATATAACATCTTTTTCAACGAGCAACGGCTCATATCGCTTCACGCGATTTCTCTTCGGATTAAAAATAGCTCCTAATTCGTTTCAGAGAATGATGACTATTGCGTTCTCTGGTCTAGAACCTTCTCAAGCATTCCTTTATATGGATGACTTAATTGTAATTGGTTGTTCCGAAAAACATATGCTTAAGAACTTAACAGATGTTTTTGAGAAATGTAGGAAATACAACCTAAAGTTACATCCAGAAAAATGTTCATTTTTTATGCATGAAGTGACTTTTCTAGGTCATAAATGCACTGATAAAGGAATACTTCCAGATGACAGGAAATACGATGTCATTATGAACTACCCAGTTCCGCACGACGCGGACAGTGCTAGACGTTTCGTAGCATTCTGTAACTATTATAGACGTTTTATAAAAAATTTCGCCGACTATTCACGGCACATAACAAGATTATGTAAAAAGAATGTTCCTTTTAAATGGACGGATGAGTGTGAAAATGCATTTCAATATTTAAAAACAAAACTTATGGAACCTACATTGCTACAATATCCAGATTTCACTAAAGAATTCTGTATAATAACAGATGCAAGTAAGCAAGCATGTGGAGCGGTTTTAACTCAAAACCACAATGGCCTCCAACTTCCCATTGCATACGCATCAAGAGCATTTACAAAAGGTGAAAGTAACAAATGTACTACTGAGCAGGAATTAGCCGCAATTCATTGGGCGATATTACATTTTAGACCATATATATATGGAAAACATTTCTTAATAAAAACAGACCATAGACCTTTAACATACCTTTTCTCAATGATCAATCCCAGTTCTAAACTGACACGTATGAGGCTCGAACTAGAAGAATACGACTTTACAGTCGAATATTTAAAGGGAAAGGATAATTATGTAGCCGATGCGTTATCAAGGATAACCATCAAAGATCTACAAAATATAACTGGAAATATATTGAAAGTCACTACTAGATATCAAAATAGACAAAAATTCCGCGCGGAAAATCAAGAACAAGAATTGCCTATGCAATCCTTAAATAAAGCTTCTAAGCCCAACGTATACGACGTCATAAACAATGATGAAGTAAGTAAAGTAGTGACCTTGCAGATAAAAAATACGTTATGTTTATTTAAACAAGGCAAAAAAAATTACTGCAAGATATGATGTCAGCGATTTATATACTAATGGAGTTATTGACTTAGATCAATTTTTCCAAAGGCTTGAAATGCAAGCCGGTATACATAAAATCAGCCAACTCAAAGTGGCACCGTGGGAAAATATCTTTGAACATACTTCCATAGATAATTTCAAATTAATGGGCAATAAAATCTTGAAAACATTAAGAGTAGCGCTACTCAACCCTGTGACCCAAATAGAAAATTTAAAAGAAAAAGAAGCAATTTTGTCTGCATTTCATGACGATCCAATTCAAGGAGGTCATACTGGCATATCAAAAACTTTGGCCAAAGTAAAAAGACACTATTACTGGAAAAATATGTCTAAAGATATAACTGAGTACGTAAGAAAATGTCAAAAATGCCAGAAAGCCAAAATAACTAAACACACGAAGACCCCTTTAACAATTACTGACACACCAATAAAAGCTTTCGACAGAGTGATAGTGGACACTATTGGTCCACTACCAAAATCAGAAAATGGCAATGAGTATGCAGTCACTTTAATATGTGACTTAACTAAGTATTTAGTTGCCATACCTGTTCCGAACAAAAATGCTAATACTGTCGCTAAAGCAACATTTGAATCTTTTATCCTGAAGTACGGTCCAATGAAGACGTTCATTACGGACATGGGAACAGAATATAAGAATTCAATTATAGACGATTTGTGCAAATATTTAAATATTGAAAATATTACATTCACAGCACACCACCACCAGACAGTTGGAACAATAGAAAGAAGTCATAGAACTTTCAATGAGTACATTCGATCTTACATATCGGTTGATAAAACTGATTGGGACGTATGGCTTCAATATTTTGTCTTTTGTTTCAACACGACCCCCTCTATGGCACATACTTATTGTCCATATGAGCTAGTATTCAGTAAAACAAGTAATTTACCAAAACATTTTAATAGCATAGATAGTGTAGAAGCACTATATAATATAGATGACTATGCTAAGGAGAGTAAGTATAGATTAGAAGTAGCCTATAAAAGAGCTAGAGTTATGTTAGAAGCAAATAAGAATAGAAATAAACTACTATACGATCATAAAGCAAATGATATAGATATAACAGTAGGTGACCAAGTTTTATTAAAAAACGAGACAGGTCATAAGTTAGATCCTAAATATACAGGTCCGTATATAGTAACGGAAATAGGAGATAGAGATAACATAGTAATAACAAATAATAAACAAAAGAAACAAACAGTTCATAAGGATAGATTAAAAATCTTTATTTCATAAATTGCACTTAGTATGGCCATACAAAAACACACATACATAGATAAATAAATACACATATTCTCTTAATAATTTCATTTTCTTTGATTCTAATAACAAAATACAAAAAATAATAATACAAAAAAAAAGTGTATTAATTAAAAATTTTTACTATAAAAATAACTTCATTATATTACGTTATTTTTCAAAAGGAGGGAGATGTAGTATGCACATACATTGAATACCCACTGTACCGAAAGTACTTAAAGGGTAAGCACTGTAACACTTTGTTGCAGTGTTTACATATTTTAAAGTCCCCTAAGTGGCCGAAATATGAACCGATCGCTATGGCTTAGCCCGCACACAGAAAGTGCTAGCGTCGGCATAATTGCAACGAACGGACAGCATATGCATACCCCTCGCGACTCCACTCGAGAGCGCATAGCAACATATATAAGTATACTCCTTTATACATAAGTATATAGGTACATAGCCGTCTCTCTGCCGCCGCCTGCGAGCAGCGCAGCTACGAGACTTAGCCTTAATTAGACTTAAAGAATATTGTAAAAATCAGAGACTCTTCGATCGTTGGAGCGGCACCATTGCTGCTCCAAATAAACCCTAAAATAAAACTAAATGAAAATAAAATACAAACTTGAAACAATCTTATTTCAGTTTCATCCCGATAGCTGAGAGACTAGTTTCATAAAAACGGACAAGCGGACATGGCTAGATCTAGTGATCTGATTTGCGTTGCAAACTTCTGACTGAAATCATACCCTCTGCAGGTGTATAAAAATCGGACGACTATGTCATATAGCTGCCATAGTAAGGATCGGAGGAATATTATTTATTTTTGATCATTTTCCCTTCTACCCACGTGTATAGCATTTTAATATTAAATACAATTAACATTTCATATTTCAAAACTTCGCATTCATTTAATAAAAATCGGGCTACTATGTATGTAACATAGCTACAGGAAGGTTCGGAAAATATATATCAAAATAATACGAAAACATATACACTAGTAAATTACAATTAAGGACTGTAATTGAGCATCATTCTATTTAAATTTTACAGACAAAAATAATTTAGCGAAGAAAATCAACCAAATTAATTAAGTTTAAACGAAATAGTTAATAGCACGTGTTTGTTTTTTTTTTCTGTTTTTTGGTTTATGTCACTCTGGTACTAGATGGTCGATATGTAAATGAGTTAAAAATTTTAAATGATAATTTAAAAACTTGCATTTCAGGAATACATCAAGAAACAAATTGATAAGGAATTTGCGAAGGGCTTGGTAGTCGCTGGTGGAGCGGCGCTAGTACTTGGTGGAATATTGGGTCTAGGCATTGCTATGGCTAGAAAGTAATATTATATGATATACTTTTCATTAAAACATTTTCTTTGAAAAATAATTTGTTTAAACAGTGGGTAATTATGATTCAATCTATTTTTGTATAAAATCGACAACAGTATAACTATTTATTAAATTTGATTGTTCCTCTTTTTAGTAAACAAAAACGGGAGAAATAGTGAAATCCATAATTTTTACGGAATCTTAATCCACCTGCAACTTCAACAACGCAGCCGTTTTGTCTGTTGCTGAAATCGATAAATAGTAATTTACTTCATTACTGTTCTTAAATATTGTATTACGTTTAACCGCGATAATTCAATAAAAGGCCCAAGTTTTAACTTTTATTTAATATCTAATAATAAAATAGGACCCCAAAAAGGGGAAAGTCAATCGGCAGTTAAAAAAGGCTAGACAAAAAATCTAAAAAACCGAAATTCTGATTAATTTGAGGACGTGTGTACTAACAACTGATGAAGTAAGTTAATAACAACAGCAACAACAATTAATAAACAACTTTAAGCCAAGAGCCAATCTCCAAATAACTCTGACTGACCTAGAGATAATTCCGTGGTCATGTATTTCTCTCAACTGCGCTTCCAAATTATTCCCACCCAGATCAGTTTCACAAACATGAAACTGATACTGTAAACGTCCAAGCCCTGAAGTCCGCTAACGTAAACACAAGAGCCCCAGAGCGAGCCCTGAGTCCGCTAACGTAAACACAAGATCCTCAAAGCGATCCCTAACGTAAACATCAATTCACGGCCGAATTTTAATTTCAAATTTAATTTGCAAATTGCATCATCCTATTTTCCGACTCTCTTGTGTCACTCTCTTTATTAATTTTGAGATAAATCTCTTAAGCCGAGGTTTATTATTGATCACTGAACTCCAGGCAGGGCAGTCCGTTTTTAAGGATCGAATCGAATAAGTGAAGTAAAAAAATAATAATAAATTTGTTTAACAAATTCACTAATGAGAAAGTTAATTCGCATACAAAGCAAAATTAAAACAACATCTGCAGTAAAAAATTATAAATATTTACCAAATCCTGAAACTGTAACTTCGGACTTAGATGCTGAAAAAAATTAAACGATGCGATAACGACACAAAAATGGTCTACAGTTTAAAAAAACTAAATTGCCCTTTTATAAAAAATTAATTAAACCAAAAGAATACACTTACTCTTTACTTTGGATTGACTTAAATCCAGTGGATTTTCACCTAACAACATTATTAAAACACTTGTTGCTATTATTTTGTTAAATCAACTGATTTGGTTTATTGATATTCCCGTTATTCGTAGAGTAAAACTTTTACTGTAAAATGGTATATTGTAATTGGGGAAAGTATGTAACAGGAAGTAGGAAGCGTTTCCGAACCAATAAAATCCCTTCAGTTTTCACCGCGTGACACTCCATATAGACATTTGTATTGGATGCCCGCTTTTTCACTCGTTACAGCTCATATGAAAATTTTGCGATGTCAGTCGTGATTTCATGCATGCCTTATACGTGTTTGTCGTATGGGAGATTTCTTGTGTGATATAATATAAAATGTGATCGATAAAAATGGTATAAATAGGCTTATTAACTTTTTATTTGTATTCATTTTTTAAAAATAAATTTTTGCATTATTTAACTTTATGGTTTATGTTCAGGCCCACTCTCCGGCGAATCTGGACCGGCCCCGCTATCCAGCTGCACCACTCTACGGCTCTCTCGCGCTCCCGCTCTCCTGCGCTGTTCCTAGCTCCCTCCATGAAGTCTCCGCTGCTCTTTGGAGCGCAGAGCGGAGCTTAGACTGAATTAGTTCGATTTTGGAGTTCAAACTAAAACTACTTTCCAAGTTAACTTTTGTGCGTACATTTTTTTCGGTTAAGGGGCAATTCGCGCAGCGTGTGTTTTCTCCCCTACAGCGACCACAGGCAGATCGCCGCATCCAACGTCCGTCAGCCGCACCAGCAGCCCCACGCCGAAGCCCAGCGCGTTCAACAGTTCCCGCGTCGCCTCCCACGCCATTCCGCCAGCGCCGTACCCCGCTACCCCCCCCGGCGGACATTTTGGTCCTTCGAGCCGGATAAGATAAGTAAAGCTTTTTCGTCTCATTAATTGCCGGTCTGCAGTCAGCCACTCGAAAATATAATTCGTTTGACTTTCTGTACGATTTGTCCAAAATCCAAGTCCTATTAAATCCGACTATTAATAAATTACTTCGCCATTTTTTTCTTTGATTTTCCTTTTGCAACGCGCGGCCATATTGCCAATTTTTTCCGACTCCCTTTTTAATTTCATTTGGCCGCTCATCCATACATACATACACTTGTATAAAATCGAGAAAAAATATTCCAAGCCAAGCATACAGTGAGAATTATTTAATTTCCAGTGTTCTGCCAATTCAGGCCCCCAAAACTTTCCAAGATTTTCTCACTGTATATCCGCAGCCGCTAAAGTACTTGCACATATTTTTTCGTTTTTCCAAATACAGTCCACATACAAATAAATCGAAAACGTCCACAACAACACATACCCCGCCGGCAATAATAATTTAATAAATTTAAAACCGGCGAAAATTACATACAAATTAAATTCGTCGTTAGTAGATGATTTAAAAAAATTTTTTTTTTTATTTTTAAAACTCGGGTGATAAACCTTTATTCTTAAAACTCAATTAATACAAGATACTTTTTATAAACTGTGAACCGATCGCGGTCTCGGATAAAATAGGACTGGCTCTTAATTCTAAAAAATTATCCAATGAACCTCGGCCAGAAGCTTTCCTTTTCTTAAGCTTCCAGAACTTTAATTTTTGTTTAAAATAAAAGCTTATGCTGAAACTGTCGCATCTCGTTGTGAAATGAAATTATGCTGACCGATGCAATTTGATTGAAAACCGGAACGCAATATGTTCTGAACTTAGAACGCAATACTGTGGGCTTTGAACGGAAAAGTTTGGGCTTCGAACGGAAGCTTGTGTTTACTTTACGATTGGTTTATTTATCTTAGCAGGACGGTCAAGCGCGGCCCTCGAAGTGAATGGCAAAGGCAAAGGCAGACTCTTAAGCAAAGGCAAAGGCAATGTCGCTGAAGGCAAGGGTAACATAGCTGAGATTGAATTCAAAAATTTGTTTATAAATTCCATAAGTGGAACCGTTTCACGGGTTGGATAACTTACATGAAAATATCTACATACATACAAATATCTACATACATACAAATATCTACATATATACAAATATCTACATACAGTCACATATAATTTTTATCTCCACCATCCCGTTCCGACTAATTAAAGTTTTCCGTCGGCCATCCGGTCAAAAATAGTAAAATAAAAAATTACACCAACCGACGTGAAAATTTTTATTTACCACCGAACTTTTTAGTATTTTTTCGGTATTTGGTATTTACTCCGTAAAATTTATTTTATTTAAACGAGAAAAATACCAGCACTCCACCGCATGCATAGCATGTCCAAAAATTTTTTGGGTATATTCTTAGTATTTTTCCTTCGGAATATTGAATCAAATTAAAGCAATACTCCAATATTAAATAATCAACCGATCGCATCCTCCGGCCAACAACTTATTGGCATAATTTGGTATTTTTTCTTCATTCAGAAGTTTAAATAAAGGCGAAATATTACAATTACTCCACCGGGGACTATATATTAACACATAGTTGGTATTTTTCCCCCTCAATTTATCCAAACGCAAAAAATACCAGCAAAAATATACCAAACTTGATCCCAACCATAATACATATACCAAAAGGGTTAAATATTATAGTGTTACTTCTCAACGGGTGATATTCGAACTCCTTACTCACCGTTCCTAATCCGTATCATTGGGTTTAATTCCGCAAAGTAACCAGGTCGGTACTTGCTTTCAATTTCTATTTCTCCGATCCACTACTTTTTTTTGTCGACACCTCGTTCCACTGTTCCGAAAGTGGGCCAGGTTTCCTATATATCCGACATAAACAAAGGCGAGCAGATTCTGACCCAAAAAAAAAAAAAATGGGTAATTTCCTTTAAATGTCCGTTTGAAGTGATAACAACAAGTTGTCCATTCCACCTGCCGTAGTCCCAGGCATATCCGTAGATCCGCCTACACCCGAACTAACCGCCAAGACCTCGTCGCCCCGAAAAGGGCCACCCGTGCAAACGTCAAAATGGCACTAACATCTTCTCAAATCGCTCTAAGCAAATTTACTGAGGTCTCAGATCGGCTGAGTGAGTTTGAATCCAGAGCAAACACTCCTGCGCCGATCCCTCCTACTCTGTCCATGCTGAACATCCGCCGCGAAGAAATACGCGCGTTATGGGACCGCATCAAGGCAGAATACGATGAATGCACCGGGTGCTTAGCAGCCGCCGGAGACAATGCAGCTGATAGTTTGCCAGTTCTCAAGGCTAAATACGGCTACTGCTATTCCGTTTACGAGAGATGTGGGGCTCAGATCGCGGATATGATAGCCCAGGCTCCCCAAGTTCAAGATGTTCCTACCCAGACTTACATTTCCTCTGGATATCGGCTGCCTCCGTGCGATACCGAGGTTTTCACCGGAGATTATCTGCGGTGGCCGACCTTTAGGGATATGTTTACGGCCATTTATATAAACAATCCAAGGCTGACGCCAGTCGAAAAACTTTTTCATCTAAATGCCAAAACAAGCGGCGATGCACACACGATAGTGTCAAACTCCCCCCTTACTAACGACGGCTTTCGCTCAGCTTGGGCTGACCTAACTGAGCGTTTCGAAAACAAGCGGTTGTTAGTAAATAGCCAGTTAAAAATACTTTTCAATGTGCAGTCCGTTAATCAGGAATCTGGGTCAGCTATCCGTGAACTTCAACGCACCATCCAGGGCTGCCTCACGGCTTTAGAAATGTCCGGAATTGAAACCGAAAATTGGGATTGCCTCTTAGTGTACATGTGCTCCTCCAAACTTCCTAAGCTCACGCTATCCTTGTGGGAACAGTCCCTGCACAATAAGGCAGAGATTCCGACGTGGCAGGAACTGAACGCCTTCCTTACGGAGCGTCACCGGACCTTAGAAGCCATAGACGACGTACGGCCGACAGGCTCGAGTCAAAATCTGCCAAAAACATCCGCCCCCACTGCAGCGCCTCGAAGAATAAATTCTTACGAGGCAAGGGTAGCACCCAAGCCAAAAGGATGTGACCTTTGTAAGAAGGACAACCATCCTGTCCGCACATGTGCACGGTTTCTCCATATGACGGTAGACGAGCGGTCGGCATTTATAAAGAGGAAGCAGCTGTGTCTGAACTGCTTCGCACGAGGGCATCAGCTGCGTGATTGTGAAAGCACTCATAGCTGCTTTACGTGCCGCGGCCGCCATCACACCTTACTACACAGAGGCAACTCCTCCCAATCGCCATCGAAAAAGCTCTGTCAGTT